TTATCAAAGAATGTCGACTAACATAACAGAAATATTACCAGGGAGGGAGTGGGCATTTGCGGCTGCGTTAAAAAACATTTAATAATTGATACGAGCCGACCCGCGGCGTATCATACGCCGCTATTTAGTTGTTGTTTTTTCTACTTTTCAGTAATTCATAATTTGTGAATTCGACAGTACCAATGCTGCCACTGAAAATATTTGCTTTAAAACACTAACCCCCCCCCCCCCCCGTGAAAGCAGCCTCCTCTTAGTTACCTCCTCTAAGTTTAAAATCGTTTCAAACTAAATTATCTGCCCCTAATAGCCGTCACTAAACCCGGCTCTACGATTGTAAAATGTAAACATTTAGCGTGAACACAGCTCACCAGACCATGTGGGGGGGGGGGGGTGAGGGTGGGGGGTGGTAGCGATAGAGAGGAAAAGAGGGGACTGCAAGGCGCGCTTGCAGCTTGTTTTCTAACGTCTCCCAGAAGAGAATTATATATATAGATATATATATATAGAGAGAGAGAGATAATTTTCCATTAATCTTGACCACAAAAAAAAACATTTATATTTTTTCCGAATCCGTGAGTCATACATGCAGTCTATAGATCTACGTCTGATATTGTTATTTTCCTAATGTGATTGCTTTTATGTTTGCTTCTTCCCTTGCGCATGTTCTGCTGCGCATGTCCGTCTGCGCATGTTCTACTGGTGTAGACACAGATGGCGTGTATGATGCACCGGACACGATCCAATCATCCAACTTCTGATTACATTCGTGCTTGCCGCCAATTCCATCTACCGTCTGGACCCTGCCATCAGGCACCCAAACATCCCCTACCCTTACATCGACCTCCCCTACCCTTACATCGACCTCCCCCACCCCACACAATTTATGAGTCTGGGAATCTATGACAGGAAGCTGTTTGTATTTAGTGTCAGCATTCCATCACTCGACCACACGGCCACCTTAATGAACTACCGGTGAGACACACTTGATTTATCGATCCTCGGCTTGACTTAATGATCTGGTCAATGAAGACTGATTTGGTCTTTAGCTGGCTTAAGCTTATTACTGGCCTTAGTCTCATCTTCTCGCCGAACTCGCTCCTTACAAATAGTCATAAACATGTCGACATTGGAACTTTCAAATAAATGTATCTAAATCGGACCTTTAAAATAAATGTATCTAAATTGGACCTCTAAAATAAATGTCTCTAAATTGGACCTTTAAAATAAATGTATCTAAATTGGATCATGGAAATATTTTTTTTCTAAACTGGATCTTTGAAATAAATGAAACTAAATTGGACCTTCAAAATAATTTGTCTAAATTGGATCTTTGAAATAAAATTATCTAAATTGGATCTTGGAAATAAACTTAACACATTTGAATCTTTGAACTAAACTTGTTGCCACAGATTAAAATTAATTAAGTGCTTGTATTAAAAGAACTTCATCTGTTTGGCACTGGGCCCAGCTCCAACTTGATGATGATTCATTCCTCTATCGCTCCCATCTGCAAGTTTTTAATGAATAAAACAAATATCTGCTTCATCTGATGGCCATATGGACAGTCTAAGGCCATTCTGATATATTGGCCAACATAGGCTTGATGTGACTACTGATATATTGGCCAACATAGGGTTGATGTTACCAGGACGACAAAACTGAAAATGTATGGGGACAGTAATTCTTTTTATTTATATAAAAAAAAAGGCTAGCGAATCATTTAAACACAGACACTCTCACCTCTCCACAAACTAACCCCCGACCCTCGAAAAAACTAACCCCCGACCCCTCGAAAAAACTAACCCCCGACCCTCGAAAAAACTAACCCCCGACCCCTCGAAAAAAACTAACTGACCCTGACCCCTCCACAAACTAACCCCCCCCCCCCCCCAACCAACACACCTGACAGACATTGTTACCGTGCTCGGCTGATCCAAATAAATCCGATGAGATTCTGTTTACATTTGGAGCTTTAAAAATAGCTACTTCCGGTCAGTCACGTGATGGCCATTGACATTACCAGCCTAAAGGTAATTTGCCGTTTCCACGGCAAATTGTTTGCCTTGTCGTCATGGCAACCAGGGTTGGTTTTTTTTTTTTGAGGGGGGGGGTCTGGGCCGGGAAAAACAGAAAGGATTAAGAAGCTGGGCTTAGCTCAAACATTGCGACAGGTACAAATATGGCGTCTGGCCTTCGGTCTTGGTGGTGTGGTTTGGCTATCAATGCTTTAGAACATGTTAGTGTTAGGCGTTGTGGTATGTCTAGCGAGAACCGTTTAAGTAACCGTTTCGAACCTCGCTGACCATGGAGCAGATGAAGTAGAGTTCACCTGTTTCTTTAACTTCAGCATAACAAGCATAGTGTTGTCAGCATTGTGCCAAGCCACCTTTGCTTTCTCTAACGTCAGCCGGGTACCCACCAGAGCTGGGTCGGCTCACGGACATTGCACAGACCCTTGCCCAGTGTCCGAATTCGAGACTTTTGGGTTTATGGTTTAGCGAGCAATGAGTGAAGTACATTGTTGATAGACTACTACATACAACAATACGGTGTCAACAACTACTTCGACATGACATCTCATTTTGTCTCCTCAATATTTATTACAGACCATTTGAAACAAAAACAAAAAGGGAAGTAAGATAAACAACAAAGATAGCCCAAAATAGTTCAAACTTTAAACAAAGGAAAGTCGCCCCCCCCCCCCCCCCCCCCGCTCCCCACACGTCTTCCTTGGTTTGAAAAAAAAATCAGTTTTTTTGTTTCGGATTTTCGGATGGACTCTAAAAATAGATCATCTGACTGACGTCATATTTCTACCCTACTTTTTTTTTGAGCAATTAAAACAAGGAATTACGTTTTAAATATTTATTGAGTAAGGCATACATTCAAAGTTTTAGTCTAGACTGGAGCTAAAAGCTCTGCTATAAAAAGATTATTCTAGAAATCCGCCAGACATTTTAAAAGAGACACCAATCAAAACTAGAGACAATTGCTTTTTAATTGACCCCCACAGCACGAGGCTGGTCTAGTAAAGGTCACCGTGCCGGAAGCACTCACAGAACTGAAGTTATTACTCACCCTAATGCGATGCTCGTGGCGTTACTGAAGGTCAATCAAGCGATTTTCTAATCAGCAGGCATAGAAGAATTTTCCAGAACACAGAGATCTCGCGCATAGATTTGTCTACCCCTCCCTCCCTCCCCCCCTCCCCCGCCCCCCCCCCCCCCACCCCCTACACAAGTGTAAGGGTAAATTGGCCGTTTTGCCACACACACAAAAAAAACATCAAGCTCCCGCAAAATGGTATCAATTTTGTTTGTTTACAGAAAGAAAATTCTTTCAATTTGAATGTTAGCATTTCTTTTTCGTTAACTTTTTTATATAAAAGTAAAAGCTGCGAATCAGTTTAAATAAACAGCATTGTTTTAGAACCTAAATAAAATTTAGGCCGGGTGTGTGAAGCTCATAGTAGCTAATCCGAAATCCAGAGTTCAAACCCCATTGCAGGTGAGGCAACTTTTGAGTGGAAACATCTTGGGCGATGGGTATCACCTACTCCTTGATGGGATAACCTACTCCTTGATGGGATAACCTACTCCTTGATGTGATAACCTACTCCTTGTGGCGGCATTTTGGGAGATGGGATAACTTACTCCTTGATGGGATAACCTACTCCTTGATGGGATAACTTACTCCTTGATGGGATAACCTACTCCTTGATGGGATAACCTACTCCTTGATGGGATCACCTACTCCTTGATGGGATAACCTACTCCTTGATGGGATAACCTACTCCTTGTGGCGGCGTTTCATTTAGACTATACCGTCAAGGGTCGAGAGGGCAATCCATAATCTCCTAATCTGGGATTAGTGTGTATCCCCTGGGAGAGTGTATCCACTGGGAGAGTGTATCCACTGGGAGAGTGTATCCACTGGGAGAGTGTATCCACTGGGAGAGTGTATCCACTGGGAGAGTGTATCCACTGGGAGAGTGTATCCACTGGGAGAGTGTATCCACTGGGAGAGTGTATCCACTGGGAGAGTGTATCCACTGGGAGAGTGTATCCATTTGGAGAGTGTATCCACTGGGAGAGTGTATCCACTGGGAGAGTGTATCCATTTGGAGAGTGTATCCACTGGGAGAGTGTATCCACTGGGAGAGTGTATCCACTGGGAGAGTGTATCCACTGGGAGAGTGTATCCACTGGGAGAGTGTATCCTCCTGAGACCAAATGGGACCATATTGGATCTCTAAGTCGCATTAAATATAGCCTATATATATATATATATATATATATATATATATATATATATATATATATATATATATATATATATATATATATATATATATATATATAAGTTGCATTAAATATAGCCTATATATATATATATATATATATATATATATATATATATATATATAAATATATATATATATATATATATATATATATATATATATATATATATATATATATATATATATATATATATATATATATATATAGGCTATGTATACAAACTTCTACCTGCTTACACCGACTACATATCTAGACTGTCTAGTTTATTTGTTATTTCTACGAGGAAAAACATGACGGTGGATATTTTTCTTCAGATTATTTAGAGATTGGAAATGGGATATGTCTTCGTTACTTTACCTCATTATAATTACAAACATTTATTATTAATCCTTTAGCTTATAGAACCCACTAGAAAAACATTTGAATGCAGATTTTTATGTTCAGTGGATTTTGTTTAATTGCATCGGAAATATTATTTTAACACATAATCGCAAAATATTCTCCTTCATTAGCATTAGTAATCTAATTAGTAAATCTAATTAGTAAATCTAATTGGTAAACTCCAGCTAGCCACACCTTGTGTATGCTGCCCAGTGAAGACTGTGGATAAAATGGCTAGTAACATTAGGGATTTTTTTTTCTCAAATTCTTTATATCCTGGCAGTGCTGTTTTAACGCTACAATTTTTATCTTCAGCAACAAATGTCGGAACCTGCAGTATACGCAACGCTAAACAGTCTTGGAAATACTTGGCTTACTTGAGTAAGTCTAACACCACTGGAAGGTACCAGATGACCTTTGGAACTGACACTGACACTGACCCCGAGAATACACTCCAAATCTTTATTGATGAACTCACTGAATGCAGTTTAAAGCTTAGATTGCCTAAAGGTAATTTTGTTTGATTCAATTTGCAGAAATTCTACAAAAACTTGCATTTTTCTCTGACCGTATAAGGAAAAAAAAAACATTTTGTCGACTGTTTCTCTTGTCCTTCATATATAAAAAAAACAACTGTATGTCAAAGAGTAAAATGCCGACTATGGCGGTATATAAAACAATATTATATCAACATTTTAATGTTTTGTTAAAGAATAATGTCCCAGTTCATGCTTTATCCAAACTTTCACATTGGCGAGGGCGGGGGTACAGTCACTAACACTGTTTAGGAGGGGGGGGGGTGACACCAGAAAAAAAATGATATTTATTTACTGTCGAAACAATGTTTTATTCCGTCAAAAATTAGAAAATAATAGGGGAGTGATGTCACACATAATTAAAAATACAAAGTTACCTGGCCTAGTGACACCTGACCTACTGACACCAGGCCTAGTGACAGTGGCGTAGCGAAGTCGGGTGTCACCCGGTGCGGCACTTAATGTAGTCATCCCCCAGAGGCGTAGCGACCCTTCCCGGGGACACACTTTCAAGTTTTCGATTTGCACCCCCCCCCTCAAACTTTCGATTTGGAACCCCCCCCCCTCAAGTTTTTCTCTATATATTTTGCTTTTTTTTCTCTTGGTGTCACCCCCCTAAATGGTGTCACCCGGTGCGATCCGCACCCCCCGCCCCCCCCCCCTCGCTACGCCCCTGCCTAGTGACACCTGACCTTTTGACACCTGATCTAGTGACACCTGACCTTTTGACACCTGATCTAGTGACACCTGACCTAGTTTCACCTGACCTAGTGACACCTGACCTAGTGACACCTGACCTAGTGACACCTGACCTAGTGACACCTGACCTAGTGACACCTGACCTAGTGACACCTGATCTAGTGACATGACCTAGTTTCACCTGACCGAGTGACACCTGACCTAGTGACACCTGACCTAGTGACACCTGACCTAGTGACATCTGACCTACTGGCACCTGACCGAGTGACACCTGACCTAGTGACACCTGACCTAGTGACACCTGACCTAGTGACACCTGACCTAGTGACACCTGACCTAGTGTCTCTCTCCTCTCCACTTCCGGAGTTTACTCGAAACATTTGTCTTGCAGATCGCACCAGCACATATGAGTGCCTAGCGCTACCCACCGTTGACACTTGCCTCACTCAGCCCAGCCCCAGCACGTCCCTACCCAGCACGGCAACATCCACCACAGAGTCGACAACACTAGGTCTAGAGGAAACTGGTAAGTTTTGGTAACTTTAACAAGATGCAACAGACATCACTAGGTCTAGAGGAAACTGGTAAGTTTTGGTAACTTTAACAAGATGCAACAGACAACACTAGGTCTAGAGGAAACTGGTAAGTTTGGCTAACTTTAACAAGATGCAACAGACAACACTAAGTCTAGAGGAAACTGGTAAGTTTTGATAACTTTAACAAGATGCAACAGACAACACTAGGTCTAGAGGAAACTGGTAAGTTTTGGTAACTTTAACAAGATGCAACAGACAACACTAGGTCTAGAGGAAACTGGTAAGTTTTGGTAACTTTAACAAGATGCAACAGACATCACTAGGTCTAGATGAAACTGGTATGTTCTGATAACTTTAACAAGATGCAACAGACAACACTAGGTTTAGAGGAAACTGGTAAGTTTTGATAACTTTAACAAGATGCAACAGACATCACTAGGTCTAGAGGAAACTGGTAAGTTTTGATAACTTTAACAAGATGCAACAGACATCACTAGGTCTAGATGAAACTGGTAAGTTTTGATAACTTTAACAAGATGCAACAGACATCACTAGGTCTAGAAGACACTGGTAAGTTTTGATAACTTTAACAAGATGCAACAGACAACACTAGGTCTAGAGGAAACTGGTAAGTTTTGATAACTTTAACAAGATGCAACAGACAACACTAGGTCTAGAGGAAACTGGTAAGTTTTGATAACTTTAACAAGATGCAACAGACAACACTAGGTCTAGAGGAAACTGGTATGTTCTGATAACTTTAACAAGATGCAACAGACAACACTAGGTCTAGAGGAAACTGGTATGTTCTGATAACTTTAACAAGATGCAACAGACAACACTAGGTCTAGAGGAAACTGGTAAGTTCTGATAACTTTAACAAGATGCAACAGACAACACTAGGTCTAGAGGAAACTGGTAAGTTTGGCTAACTTTAACAAGATGCAACAGACAACACTAGGTCTAGAGGAAACTGGTAAAATTTGATAACTTTAACAAGATGCAACAGACAACACTAGGTTTAGAGGAAACTGGTATGTTCTGATAACTTTAACAAGATGCAACAGACAACACTAGGTCTAGAGGAAACTGGTAAGTTTTGATAACTTTAACAAGATGCAACAGACATCACTAGGTCTAGAGGAAACTGGTAAGTTTGGCTAACTTTAACAAGATGCAACAGACAACACTAGATCTAGAGGAAACTGGTATGTTCTGATAACTTTAACAAGATGCAACAGACAACACTAGATCTAGAGGAAACTGGTATATTCTGATAACTTTAACAAGATGCAACAGACATCACTAGGTCTAGAGGAAACTGGTAAGTTTGGCTAACTTTAACAAGATGCAACAGACATCACTAGGTCTAGAGGAAACTGGTAAGTTTTGATAACTTTAACAAGATGCAACAGACAACACTAGGTCTAGAGGAAACTGGTAAGTTCTGGTAACTTTAACAAGATGCCACAGACAACACTAGGTCTAGAGGAAACTGGTAAGTTTTGATAACTTTAACAAGATGCAACAAACAACACTAGGTCTAGAGGAAATTGGTATGTTCTGATAACTTTAACAAGATGCAACAGACAACACTAGGTCTAGAGGAAACTGGTATGTTCTGGTAACTTTAACAAGATGCAACAGACATCACTAGGTCTAGAGGAAACTGGTAAGTTTGGCTAACTTTAACAAGATGCAACAGACAACACTAGGTCTAGAGGAAACTGGTAAGTTTTGATAACTTTAACAAGATGCAACAGACAACACTAGGTCTAGAGGAAACTGGTAAGTTTTGATAACTTTAACAAGATGCAACAAACAACACTAGGTCTAGAGGAAACTGGTATGTTCTGATAACTTTAACAAGATGCAACAGACAACACTAGGTGTAATAGATTGAAATAATTGTGAGGTCAAGGGAACTCACTCTTCTGTATTAGTTATATTTATAATATTGTTATCTTGAGTGATGTCCCTTGGGTACTTCCTTCCGTCCTCTCTGTGTGTTACGATCGAGGTAGTTAGACCCATTAAATGTGTTATATACAACCACAGGCTTCTGTCGTCAATCTATTATAACTGGCGACGAAGGATAAACATCTACTAGAAAGAGCACCTACTTACGAAAAAAAGAGGTTTGCTAGAGCTTATTAGCTAATTATTTCTAGAATTATGGCGCTGTATGGCCAAATAAAAGAATTTGATGCGAATGATGAAATCATTCAAGATTACCTAGAGAGGTTAAGCTTTTACCTAGAAGCTAACGACGTGACGATAGAAGCCAAAAAGAGAGCTGTTTTGTTAACAGTCATAGGGCCTCAACAATTTAGGCTACTAAAAGACTTATGCGCACCAGCCAGTCTAACTACCAAGAGCTTTAACGAGCTGAGCAAATTGCTAACAGACCACCATGCGCCTACCCCATCAAAGTTTTTATGTAGAGCTAGATTTGACAGTAGGACTCGTCAACCAAACGAGTCAATAACAGAATATGTTGCTGCTTTACGTCATTTAAGTGAATTTTGTGAATTCGGCGATACGCTGTCTGACAGACTATGTGAAAAGTTTGTGACAGGTGTAAACAGCCCTGATATTCAAAGAAGGTTGCTGCTCGAGTCAGATCTAAAATTAGAAAAAGCAATACAACTCGCAACTTCAATCCAGCAGTCATCAGATGCGGTGAGATCTTTAGCACCTTCAGAGATCCATGCAGTAAACAGCAGGTTAATCAATAAACATCCACCCCATCAGAGCATTCCAACTTATGCTAAACACCCTGCTCGTTCAAATCCTAGATCTAAATCTAGTAATAATTATCAAAAATGTCATCGATGCAAAGGTCCCCATGCATCTCATCGGTGCAAGTTCAAGTTAGCAACTTGTTATAAGTGCGGTAAGCAAGGTCACATTGCCAAGGCCTGCTTTGCAAAGTCTTCGTCTGTTGCTAAATCTAGCCAGTCAAGACAGTACCGCAACCAAAAGCAGCACTATGTTAACTCTCACCAAGACTACCTAACCCAACCAATGAACCACTCTACCTGTGAAAATGCTCAAATTGATTTGCAGCCGGATTTCAACCTGTTCTCTGTTAAATCAATAAGTCATGCTCCCATCAATGTACAAGTTAATATCAACGGTAAGAGCATCAGCTTCCAACTTGACACTGGAGCATCTCTAACAGTCATAACAAAGAAAGATTTTGACGCTGTCACTGGAGGATCAGTGCCTCTACAGCCATGTCACAAGTGCCTAACAACATACACTGGTGACAATGTTCCGGTAATAGGAGAGTGTATGGTTCATGTGAGTTATAATGGTCAAAGTGTTAAACTTCCTCTTCTTGTGGTTGAAGGAAATGGACCGCCATTACTAGGTAGGAACTGGTTAAGTGATCTTAAGTTAAATTGGGAGAGTATTTGTTCATTGAAGAATGTAAAAGAATCTAGTCTTACTTCACTAGATAAAGTAATATCTGAAAATAAATGTGTTTTTGGTAACTCTGGATTACTAAATGATAGAACAGTGAAGTTAAGCATTAAAGATACAAATCCAAGATACTGCAAAGCTAGAGTTCCACCTTATGCAATGAGGAATAAAATTGAAAATGAGCTAAGTAGATTGGAATCTAATGGCATTATAAAGAAGGTAGACTATTCCGATTGGGCAACGCCCATTGTGCCAGTGTTAAAGAAGGATGGTTCTATAAGAATTTGTGGAGATTATAAAACTACACTGAATAAGCAAATAGAGCTAAATAGGTACCCTATACCTAACATTGAGGAAATTTCTTTGAATTTGGCAGGAGGAGACAAATTCACTGAATTAGACTTTAGTCATGCTTACACTCAACTAGAACTGCATCCAGATTCAAAAGTCTATACGACAATAAACACACATAAAGGACTCTACCAATATGAAAGACTATGTTTTGGCATATCATCTAGCCCTGGAATTTTCCAAGCGGTCATGGACAGTATTTTTAAGGATATTCCAAATGTTTGTGTTTACTTTGACAATGTGTACATAACTGGTAAGAATGACACTGAACATCTTAAAACACTTGATAAAGTATTGAAAATTGTTGGTGAAAAAGGTTTAAAGATAAACAAAGATAAATGTCAATTCATGCTGACAGAAATTAGTTTTCTTGGTTATATATTAAGCAAGCAAGGCATCAGACCTCAACCTGAGAAAACAAAAGCCATTAAAGAAGCACCAAAACCTGAAAATACCCAACAACTAAGAGCTTTTTTGGGCTTGATAAATTACTATGCAAAGTTCATAGGAAATCTGTCTGGTAAACTATCACCACTGTACAAGCTGCTACAGAAAAATGCAACTTGGCACTGGGGTAAACAACAAGATACTGCTTTTAATACAGCAAAAGAGGCTTTGTCTGCTGACACCTTACTAACTCACTATGACCCAGGGAAAAGACTTATATTAACATGTGATGCTTCACCAGATGGTGTAGGAGCAGTCTTGTCCCATATGGATGAGAAGGGTGACAGACCCATTGCTTTTGCCAGTAGATCTTTGAATCAGGCTGAGAAAAATTATTCTCAGTTAGATAGGGAAGGCTTAGGCATCATTTTTGGTGTTAAGAAATTTCATAAGTTTCTGTTTGGTAGGAAGTTCACCATCTTTACAGATCATAAACCATTGCTAGGTTTATTTGGAGAAAACAAAACCCTACCTGAGCATGCCTCACCAAGGATTCAAAGATGGGCTATCACACTAACTGCATACAATTATGAATTGAAATACAAACCTGGATCTGAGAATAGTGCAGATAGTCTTAGTAGATTACCTTTAAAAAACCAAAGCCTGAGCTATGTACCAGAAGATGTATTTGTTCTCTTCACTATCATGGATAACTCCAACATAAATGTGAATGATATTAAAAGAGAAACACAAAAAGATGAGTGCTTAATAAAAGTATATGAGTACTGTAAGAATGGTTGGCCTGAAGAGTCTGTGAATGATG